TCGAAAACATGTTTGTACGAATTTCATCAAACGTACACTTTTAACCGTGGATAGCTAAAACTCGGCACTCGACTATTAACATAACCTTGCAAACTCCATTTAGGCTTTATGTTGAACCTCATCTTTTTGGAAAGAATAGATTTAAGATTGTGATTTTTGTGAACGTGTAATTAAAAAGTAAGCCCCTGGTAGATGCTCATTCTTTCATCAAAATGAGTTTTGTAGTTGTGAATTATTTAAGAATGCGTGGTTAAAAAGTAAGAGTTCTTTTGAGTTTACGTGTAAAAAAATTTATTGCGAGAATGTGTAAATGAAAATGAGTTTTGAAATAACGAGAATCAAACTAGGGCTAAGAATTATTTTTTTGGGGTTTATGTATAAATTTATTTTATTGTGATAATATGTGATTGAAAATGAGTTTAAGAAAAAATGATTTTTCTTAGAATGAGGCTTGAATAGGGGCTTAATAAAAAATGAACTATATCGATCAAATATGATACACCCTTCAGTTGAACCACTAACTTATCGATTGAACCATTGACTTGAGACTCGATGATTTATTTGAGTTGATGATCAGATCGAGTCTGATAACTATGTCCAAAAATATCGACACAAATTCGTGCCTGTTTAAATGCTTAAAGAAATCAAACCTAATGGGTTTCTCAACAAATATCTCCAAATCTAGAAGTTTTTCCTTCCTCCTAGTGGGGAGAGCTCTACACGAGTCCTAGGATTATTGTTATGAGTTTCGAATATTTGTTGTGTTTTTCTCTTTATTTTATCCACTGTCCTTGACAGTTATAGATCACACCATTAACCAATGTGATGATTGGAGTAACCTTTTTATTTTTCTTCACTTTTACCTCGTTGAATGAAAGTGCTTGCATTGTCATCCATGTCTTGAATTTGAACCTCATCTCGATTAATCAAATATACCATCTTTGAAACAGTCTCTGCTCCTCAATCGATTGTACGTTCATGCCAAAGACGTTGGCTAATATCTCGCAAATAAATCATCCTCACGTATCCCTGCATTATCCATTTGCGTGGTTCCTCGAGCAGGGGTATACACTATATTCTTTAAATAACAATTCAATAATTAAAGTTTACTACGCACTAGTGGATGCACTTTGTTGGTGGGTTAGATTGCCTAACATGTACGTGCTATAATGCCACGCTAGGTCTATATAGTTATATTAGCCTTGAATTTCTTTATTTTTTACAAAAAAATATTTTAAAAATTAAACAAAAGTATTAGATTTAGCTCCTGTTGATTTAGATAGAATTTAAATTTTTAATAAATTTCGATAAAAAATAATGAAATGTGTGGTTGAAAAGTTATGAGATCCATAAAATACGTAATTAAAGTTAATTATTGAGTTTAATTTAAGTTTTAATCTAATTTTCTAGTTGAACCAAACATGGAGGTNCTCAAAATCCTCGTGCCTATCTTGTCGCTATCTCTGTTTCAATTTTAGAGGATGCTAGGTAAAGATTAGAATTAAATTTTTAGTAGATTTTGATAGAAGTTTTTGAAATGTGTGGTTGAAAAGTTATGAGATCCATAAAATACGTAATTAAAGTTAATTATTGAGTTTAATTTAAGTTTTAATCTAATTTTCTAGTTGAACCAAACATGGAGGTAGTAACCATTGGTTCAATTAGCAACGCAACCCACTACTATGCACACACAGCAATTTCAAAGACAACTATAGGAATTGCAACTAGAGAGGATCCTTGAGTTGAGCCTTCCAAAACCCAGACAGCTCGCACATGCTTCAAAATCTCCATCGCTTCATTGTCAGTTTACACGGCTCTCTCAACAACGACTTCTGCATATCTATCTACCTACACTGTACATATGCATTATCATATCTATAGCATATGATATTAATGTTACATCGCATCGCATCACATCACATTTTCAACATCAATTTTTTTATCTCATCTCATTCATTTCATACGCATAGATACATATAAAGACACAATCATATATACATAACCTGATAACCATGACAATGGAAGGAAATGAATCTCAATATGATGCACCAGCACCTGAAGTGCAGCAGAACCAGTCTTCGCCCCGAAATTCGACACCTTCTATAGGTATGCATTTAGTTAGCATATGAGGATCTGTGATTTTGGAGAAAATTGCGATAATTGCATTGAACCATTGGATAGACACTAATCACAATACTAGTGATTTTGTGGCGCATATGAGGTGAAGTTAAATTTTGTTGATATCTTTTTGTCATTACTAGTTACTGTTGTGATTCTCCTATCACGAAAACGGAGTTATAAGAGAAAAAAACTATTATATTTCTTACTTGAATAGAATTTTACAAGAGAATTTACAAACTCTTATCAAAAAACCTCTCAAACTCTCTCTACTATCTCTATTGCTTTCCTCACTTGGGTGTGTCAAAACAAATGA